CTAACCAGATCCAAACAGCCTTCAGGGAGCCTTCTAGTGTTGACTGATCCCAGGACTGACACCTGGCCCCTCAGAGGCATCTTATGTCAACTGCCCGCCATTGCTCTGTGCAACACAGATTCTCCTCTGTGACACATGGACATTGCAATTCCATGCAACAACAAGGGAGCTCACTTGGTGGCTCTGACGAGGATAATGACCCAGGAAGTACTGAGCATGTGAGAGCACCCACGGGAGATTATTCTTGACCTACAGAGACCCAGAGGAGACTGAGAAGGAGGAACAAGCCACTGTTGAGAAAGCAGTGGACCAAGGAGGAATTTCGAGGTGAACAGACTGTACCAGCGCCTGAATTCACTGCTGCTCAGCTTGAGTTCACTGCTTCTCAGCCAGAAGGGGCAGAGTGGCCTGAGGGTGTGCAGGTGCTCTCCGTACCCATCCAGTAGATCCTACTGAAGATTGGAGTGCCCAGCCAGCCACTGAGGACTGGTCAACAGCTCCTACGTGCAGGCTACCAAGTGGGTTGGAGTTACCACTGACTGGTCCTGAGCTGCTCTGCAGACCCCTGAGCAAGGGGTGGTGGTGAAAGGAAAATAAAGTTCCTAACATGCACTGACTACTTAACCAGACTACCCAGGTTCAGTTCCCAGCCTCATCCAGAGTATCCAGGTTCAGTTCCCAGCCTCATTCATAGTACCCAGGGTCAGTTCCCAGCACCTATATGCTGGCTCACAGTCATTGATAACTCCAGTTGCAGGACATCTGACACCTCCTACTGACCTGCATGAGCACCAGACATGCAAGTTGTATACATACAGGCATGTATCATACACATAAAATAAACATATCTAAAAATAGTTTATCAGCACTCAGGATGCAGAGGCAGGTGGATCTCTGTGACTTTGAGACCAGCATAGTTGACTGAGCAAGTTCCAAGCCAGCAGGACTACATAGTGAGATCTTGTCTCAAAAAAATGTTTACACTTATTTATTTCTGTGTTTGTTTGTTTGTTTGAGGCAGGGTCTCAGACAAGCTAGGTAGACTCAAAAACACTAAATAGTCAAGGATGACCTTGAGCTCCTGACCCTCTATCAGTATTTAAATATTGCTGACCTCATTGTTTAAGTTGTGGGATATCGAGGGGGAACGTAGGCACGTCAGCACAACAGCACTTTACCTAGTGCCTTTCTCTACTGTTTGTGTCATAGCTGTGTCAGGTGAATAGTTGCCTATTTATTGTCCTCACTTGGTGATTAGCATGGCTTAATGAGATGCATATGAGTGCCAGGTTAACAAAGGGTGTGTCTGACTCACTGTTCTTTTGCTGTGAAGAAACACTATGACCTTGACAACTATTTTTGCTTGATTGTTTCTTTCCCAAGAAAGGGTTTCTCTGTGTGACAGTCCTGGCTGTCCTGGACCAGCTCTTGTAGACCAGGCTGGTCTTGAACTCACAGAGATCCGCCTGCCTCTGCCTCTGCCTCCCATGTGTTGGAATTAAAGGGGTGCACAGCCATGTCAGGCTATGGGGGCTATTTTTATTCAAACCATCATAGGTGAGCTTTGCCGGGTAGTTTTATGTGTCAGGTTGGCCTGGGATATCAGGTGCTCCAGTTAAACATTATTTCTGGGTGTGTCACATGATGTCTACACTGAGTGCCTGGAATGAACAATACAGATGGCCCTCCCTCTTGTGAATGGGCTTTAGCCAACCCACTGAGGGTCAGAATGGAACAAAAGGCAGAGGAAGGGGGATTTGCTCTTTCTGCTAGAGGGCTGGAGCTGGGGTATGTTCTCTTACCCTCAACTGAACTTCTATAATTGTCCCCCTGGCTCTCATAGGTCCCCAGCTTTCAGGTGGCTATTATGGGACCTCTCAGCTTCCATAACAACATGAGTTAGTTCCTTTAAATAAATCATATATTGGCTCTGTTTATTGGAAGAATCCTTACTAATACACGCAATAATTTTACTTATACCCCTGACACTAACCTAAGTGCACAAAGCAGTGGGCACAAGGCTGATAGGAGTGATGAGGAAACCTTATAAAAGGCAACAGATTTGTGTCTCAGTGATTAAGAGTGCTTGCTGCTCTTTAAGAGAACCCAACTTCAGATCCCAGCATCCGTGCCAGCCACAACTGCTTGTAACTCTGCCTCCAAGGGATTTGATGCCTTCTTTTAGTCTCCATGGGCACCTCCACATGTGGCATACAATACACACACATACATTTTAGAATTAATTTTTAGAAACGCCTAACAATGAAGAGAAAAATGAGTGGTAAAATCTTATAAACATCCACTTATAACTCAGGTATGGGGGACATGCCCTGTAATTCCAGCACTCGGGAAGCTGAGGCAGGAAGAATCACTCCCTGGCTAAGACCATCTTGAATGGTTACATAAAGAACAACAAAACAGTCATTTATAACCAATAACTAGTGCTGAGTGATATGGGTGATGGGGGGGTATTCTTACTGAACCCAGAGTGGCCACTAAGTACAATGCAAACATGGGTCCTGTGTGTACTTGCAGAGTGAGGTGCCCTTTACAAGACAAGCAAAGGAGAGCCAGTAACCCAGACTGCACGCCTGCACATGCTCACAAACACACAGGGGAGTATCTAAGATGAAACGCCTGGAATTGACTCCAATCACGGTCATTTTGTGGATGGGCAGGGAATGACCTGCGTGGTCCATATACTAATAGGTAGCATTCACTCACATCTTTATTTTTCAGCGCTTGTAACCAAGCCCACAGCCTGGTATTGTCAAGGCAAGTGCCCTGTCACTGAGTCACTAAGCCACATCATCAAACCTTTTATTATTATTATTATTATTATTATTATTATTATTATTATTATTATTATTGGTTTCTTGAGACAGGGTTTCTCTATGTAGCTTCAGAGCCTGTCCTGGAACTTGCTTTGTAAACCTGGTTGGCCTCGAACTTACAGAGATCCACCTGTCTCTGCCTCCTGAGTGCTAGGGTTAAGGGCCTGCTGGCATTCAGCTTTTTTTTTTTTTAAAGATTTATTTATTTATTATATATACAGTGTTCTGTCTGCACGTATGCCTGGAGGCCAGAAGAGGGCACCAGATCTCATTACAGATGGTTGTGACTCACCATATGGTTACTGAGAATTGAACTCAGGACCTCTGGAACAGCAGCTAGTGCTCTTAACCTCTGAGCCATCTCTCCAGCTCTCCCTCTTTTTTTGAGACAGGTTTTCACTATGGAATTCACTCCATAGCCCAGGCTGATCTGCAACTCACAATTCTCCTGCCTTGCCTCCCAAAGGCTGGAATTACAGACCTGTACTGCCAGCCTAGCACTACAAAACTCTTTTTTTTTTGTTGTGCTGGGAATTGACCCCAGAACCAGGCAAACATGCTATTACTAAGCTATATCTCTCACATTTAATTGTGAGAGAGGATTTTTGATAACTTGCCCAGGATGGCCTGAAATTTAAAAAATATAAATTTTTATTTTATGTGTATGTGTGTTTTGTTAGCACATATGGCTATATGCCCGGTGCCCGAGGATACCAGAGGAAGGTGGGGACTAGAGTCACAGACATTGTGAGCTACCATGTTGGGACTGAAAATCAAACATGGTCCTCTGGAAAAAGAGCCAGTGCTTTCAAACACTGAGCCATCTCTCTGGCCCCCTAAAACTTTTGGTCCCCCTGCTCCAGCCTTCTAAGTGGCTAGGATTATAAGCCTCTGCCACTAGGCCTGTCTGAAAACATTTTTTTAAAAAAGGAAAACAATACTTTCAATAACACCAAGGCACACAGTGTTTATGTCTGGGGTAACCAGGGTGTGTCCAGAATGTCAAACTCACCTATACCTGGTCCAGATGTAACCCACAAGAGAGAATAGAGCTTGGCTCAGAGTGAGGCAAACAGTAGAGGTAAGGGAAGGGGACCAAGGGTGGGTAGGAACTGAGAGGGTCCTAATACAGCAAGACCCTGTTTCAAAAAAAATCTGGGTTATGGCTGGAGAGATGGGTCAGCAGTTAAGAGTACTTGCTGCTCTTCCGGAGAACCCAGGTTCAATTCCCAGTACTCGTGTAGCAGCTCACACCTGGTGGTAACTCCCATTGCAGGGGATCCAATGCCATCTTCTGGACTCTGCAACAGGAAGCATGTAGGTGGTGCAGACATACAAGCAGGCAAAACACCCATATCCATTAAAAAGAAGTCTTCGCTCAGAAACAGACCCACACCACATGAGAATGGCCATATTCTCTAACTCAGACACTGAAATGCTTCACACCCTGATCTCACACTCCAAGGAAGATCAAAGCTTTCTCACATGGTGATACTAGTCTCTTGACACTCGGGATAGGTGGCTCTTCTGTGCTGTGCTATTATGAATGAATGTTTAGCGGGATTTGACACACCTGGAAGTTGACAGAGCAGGACCATTAGAGACCAGCCTGAAGAACATAGCAAGACCCTCATCTCAAAAGAGGAAGCCCTTCTTTATTTTCTCTCTTTTTTTGGGAGTGGGGGGCCTCGAGAGAGGGTTTTTCTGCGTAGCTTTGGAGCCTCTCCTGGCACTAATTCTGTAGACCAGGCTGACCTCAAACTCACGGAGATCCGCCTGCCTCTGCCTCCTGAGTGCTGGGATTAAAGGCGTGTGCCACCAATGCCCAGCCAGGGGAAGCCCTTCTTTTTGTGCTTTTCCTTTCAAGGCCTTCAGAGTTTGGTTTGGCTTTCACAGTGCTTGGGATAGAACCCAGAGACTGTGTTCCACCGCTGAGCTACACCCCGAGTTTTAAGTTAGAGGCTCTGAGAGCCTGAAGTGAACCTTAAAGAGGACTCTGGAGCAGACCCAAGGAGGGAAGGTGCTTTGCACCTCCTGCCTCTGTCCCCACCCAATGTCCTCAGCCAGCACCTCCCATTCCTGCCCCTTGATCTCCGGGCATCGAGCCAGCCCCAGCCCCAATCTACCTGCCATGTAGCATTGTCTGCCCTCCAGTCATCAGTCAGGATGTGGGGTCAAACTCCTGAAAGTCAGGTGAGTATGGGGGCCCTGGAGGCTTTGGGCATGTGTGTTGGCCAGGCTGGAGGTACCCAACCTGGGTCAGCTGACTTGCTTCCCTTCTCAGGAACACCTTTGTGGCTGGCTTTACCATTCCTTCACCCCCTTCACTGGGCCTCCACTCTCAAAGATAACCAGAGGGCAGCAGAGGCCCTGCTTAGGCCTCTGGAGGCCAGTCCTGTGTAGTGAATTTGGGAGGGCCCAGGCTAAGGGGTGGCTGCTCTCTCAGAATGGTTCATCTGAGAGTCAGTTCAGCTTCAGACTTGTGGAGATAGCCAAAGATGGCTCCTAGTGATTGCCCCTAGGTCTCACATAATACAGCAGTGTGAGGAAGGCCTGGGAAACCTTGACCTTGAAGCCTGTCAGAATATTGTGAGGCCCTGAGAACCTGAAGTGAACCTTAAAGAGGACTCTGGAGCAGACCCAAGGAGGGAAGGCATAGTGTCCAGGGCACTGACAACTAAGAGGAAAGGGTGAGCTTATTGTCTAGGCCATTAGCATTGGGGCTGCCACTCAATGCTGAGTGGGAAACTGAAATTCAGTGACCAAAGTTCCCATATATCAAGAAGCTGGGAAGCCGGGAGGTGGTGGCACATGCTTTTAATCCCACAGGCAAAGAGAAGCAGATCTCTGTTTATTCAAGACCAGCCTGGTCTACAAAGCGAGTTCCAGGACAGCCAGAGCTGTTACACAGAGAAACCCAGTCTTAAAAAGAAAAAACAAATTAAAAAAAAGAAGCTGGGAAACACAGCTCTTAAACATGAAAAACAGTTAAGTAGGAGGGAAAAAGATAAGAGCAGAGATAGGGGAAATAGAAAGCAAACATACAATAAAGACCAGCAATGTTCAAGGCTGGTTCTTCAAACAAATCCAGAAAATACTAGTAATTTCTGTTTATGCCATAGAAATTAGGAGAAAAAGCCAGGCGTTGGTGGCGCATGCCTTTAATCCCAGCACTCGGGAGGCAGAGGCAGGCGGATGTCTATGAGTTTGAGACCAGCCTGGTCTACAAGAGCTAGTTCCAGGACAGCCTCCAAAGCCACAGAGAAACCCTGTCTCACAAAACCAAAAAAAAAAAAATTAGGAGAAAAACATAAATTAGGGATATCAGGAACAAAACAGGGCACTCATACAGATTTTACAGACATTAAGAGGTTAAATGGAACTTCTTTGGATTTAAAAAAAAAAAATCATGCCTATGTTAGTACAGGTGCCCACAGAGGCCAGAAGAGGGCACCCAATCCCCTGGAGTTGGGGTTACAGTGTTTGTGAGGTCTTTGAGAGAGTCATAAGCACTCAGCCCTAGTCTCCTCTCCAACCCCGAATAGGACTGGGAAAAAAACAAAAAAAAAACAAAAAACAAAAACAAAAACAAAAGCTTTCCTTTCAGTGAGGCCTAAATGACAGTTATTTACTTCTTTGGTTAGATGGTTGGTTTTTGGTGGTGGTGGTGGTGTGTTTTTGTTTTTGTTTTCTGAGACAGGGTTCTCTGTGTAGTTCTGGCTGTCCTGGAACTCACTTTGTAGGCCAGGCTAGCCTTGAACTCACAGAGATCCACCTGTCTCTGCTTTCCAAGTACTGTGATTGAAGGTGTGTGCCACCACTGGCTGGCTGGTTTTGGTTTTTGAGACAGTTTCCTGACTAGGTTTAGCGCTCTGCATGTTTGTTTGTTTGTTTTTAAATGTACATTGGTGTTTTGCCATGGAACTGGAATTCCATGAGCTGCCACATGGGAGCTAGGAATCAAACCCAGGTCCTCTGGAAGAACAGGCAGTGCTCTTAATCACGAAACCATCTCTCTAGCACCCAGAATTGGCTTTGTAAACACACATACCCAAAAACTTTTTTTTGAAAAAAACTTGTTTTTAAATGTATAAGTGTTTTGTCCGTATGTATACATGTGTACCACACATGTGCATTGATTGTGGGGGCCAGAAAGGGTGTTAGAGCCCTTGCTACTACAGCTACCGACAGTTGTGAGCCACCATGTGGGTGCTGGAAATTGAACCAGGTACAGCAAAAACCCTTAACTACTGAGCCATCTTTTCGGCCCCTCTTTCTGTTTTTTTCAAGACAGGGTTTCTTTGTGCAGTGTTGGAGCCTGTCCTGGAACTCATTCTGTAAACCATGTAAACCAGGCCGGCATCAAACTCACAGAGATGCCCCCCACCACCACTCCCCCACACCCGGCTTCAGAAGCTTTTATTTCACCTCAGACAGTCCTTTTTGTGGCATGTGTGTGTGTGGGGGGGGGGTGTTTTGTTTGTATGAATGTCTGTGCATCACTTTCAGGGGCCAAAAGAAGACCTCAGATTCCCTGGAACCACAGATACAGAAAGAGAGCTGTGAGCCACCATATGGGTGTTTGGAATTGAACCCAAGCCCTTTGTAAGAGCAGCCAGTGTTCTTAATCGCTGAGCCAACTCTCCAGTCTTACCCACCCGAAGTTCCTCCTTGCCTTGCCCCACAATTACAGCTGCCCATCAGGAAAGGTGGAGGCTTGGGGAAATCGGCTACTGGAGGCTTTGATTTGGAATTGGGCCTGTCCTGAACCTTGTAATGTCTTCAAAAAGAAACAAATTCCAACTTGGGGAAAACAAGGGCATGCTGGTGTTAATTTCAACTTCCCTAGGCTTCACCTTTGCCTTTCTAGTAGGAGACAAAGGAAGAAATCAAGAAGAGGTGACATGGCAGTCATGTGGCTTATTGTATGAATCCGTGCAGGAGCAATGGCCTTTACAGAGATTTTTGTGCAGGAGTTTCCCCTTGAAATGGGTGTGAGGAGATCACAGTGGTTGAGGAGGTGATGGGAGAGGAATTGAAGAAAACGTGGAAGTATCTGGTGGCATTTTAGCTTTATCTGACTTTGGGTGGGTTTTTTCACTTGTTTTTTTCCCCCACATTTTAGTTATGCAGGAACAGCAGTCAGAACCCTTCCCCGTGTCTCATCCTTAGACTTGACCACATTGTGATGACTGTAAAGAACATCGAAGACACCACCATGTTCTATTCCAAGATCCTGGGCATGGAGGTCACTACTTTCAAGGTAATCACATCCCCATATTCAAAACTTCAAGTGCGTTAAAGTGTGTGTGTGTGTGTGTGTGTGTGTGTGTGTGTGTGTAGGCTGGAGGTCTCATTTAGCTCATTTAGCTAGACTGAATGGCTATCAAGCCCCAGGGAGACTCCTGTTTCAGCCTGAGATTATGACAAAGGTGCTGGGGATCTGAACTCAGGTCCTCACGTTTCTATAGCAAGCATTTTGCTAACTGAGCCATTTCCCCAGCTTCATTCATTAAAATTTGATAACATTTTATGCCAGGGGATGTGTAGCTCAGTGCATAGAATGCCTTATACACACAGTCCCCAGTACCACAGGGTTCTGCACACAGTCATCTTAACTGCAGAGACGGATGCTGGAAAATGAAAAGCCTAAGATCATCCTCAGCTACTTAGCAAGTTTGAGACCAGCCTAGGATACATGAAATAGTGTCGTCTTTTTTTTTTTTTTTTTTTTTTAAGACATGGTTTCTCTGGGTAGCCCTCTCTGTCCTGGTGAGATACTGTCTTAAAATAATTGATACTACTTTAAATGTAACTTACAGGCTGAGGGTGCAGCTCAGTGACCGTGTATTTGCCCAGTATGCATTAAACCCAGATACCAATCCTAAACGCTGCCAAAAATAAACATAGTATAACTGCAAACCCCCAAACACAGGGGAAAATGAGAAATATGAGAGAAAAAGTAAAAGGATCAATGGAAGAGATTCTGAACTACAAACAGGAAGACATTCAGAGGGAGGGTAAAGAGAATGGAAGGAGGAAACTTTGAAAGAAATAAAGCAAGAAGCATTGTTAGTTCAAGGTCGCAAAAAAAGTGCAAGAGAACTTTGCAGCCTTTATGTACAAAGAGTTAACTATGTAGCCAGCACAGGAACACTCAGATATGCCCTGTGGGAATTACAGAACATCACATTGAAAAAGTCCATCTTAAGACTTTGCCAAGAGATTAAAAAGTGGTTCATCTACAAAAGAAAAAGAAACATGCAAATGTCAGAATTCTTGAATCACACCAGAGGCCAGAAAACAATAGGACTATACTTTTAAGACTCTGGGAAAGCACTCCCGCCCCGCCTCCAGTTCTGCCTCAGCATCTCTCCATGTGGTCCCTACTCCCAGAACAAAAGCTGTTCCCAGCCTTAATCAGGGAAGCCTCTCCCTACAAAGGAAGGCGATGAATACGGACACTCAGGCTGCCTAAAATGGAGAGAATAGCGACGGTTCTGGGTCCAGCCCTACACAAGATATTCCAGCCACCCCCTCTAAGGCTCGGGAACATTGTGGCAAAGGGGATGGAAAGTATATAAGAGCCAGAAGATAGGGTGAAGGGCTATGGCATGCCATTCCATAGACTATGCAGCTATTGTAATTATTAACTCACAACTGTGGTTACCTGGTCCCTTACAAGACTGGCCCTATCAACAGGAAGTCGAGGAAGGGGGAGGGAGATTCATGGGGCCCTACCTGCCACCTCTGAACTATTGACTTCTGATAGAGTCTGGGGGGAAGGGACCATTGTCTTTAATTGTGTACCCACTGCTGAGCCCACCAGGCTCCAAATGGATCGCTCTAAACCCATGATTACAGAGACACCCCTGGTTAATCTCAGTGGGTCACTAAACAAAGTAGTCATGAAAGTGCAGGAGAGATTTGTAAAGAGGAGGAGGAGTTGAAGGGGTAGCAGGGAGGGGGTGAGAGTGGTTGGTATGCATTGTGAAATGGAAATTGTCTAAACACAAATGCCATTAATTGAAAAATGATTCTGGGGGGGGGGAACACAACCTAAAATTCTGTGTCCATCTGAACTGCAAATCAAAGGTAAATGTAGAATAAAGCATCCTTAGGTACAAAGAGCTGGAAAAATGTGTGTGTATGTGTGCTCTGAGGGCTGGAGGGGTAGCTCAGCAACAGAGCACTTACCCAGCATACAAGAGGGTCTAGGTTTCATTCCTACCACCACAATAAGCAAAGAAAACGAGTCATTAAGGGCTGGCAAGATGGCTCCCCGTGGATAAAAATATCTGTTGCCAAGTTTGAGACCTTGAGTTAGATTCCTGGGACTCACGAGTCCACACGGTGAAAGGAGAAAAGCAATTCCGAAAAGCTGACTTTTGACCTCCACACATGTGTCATCACACACACACACACACACACACACACACACACAATCTATATCTATCCATCCATCCATCATTTTTTTAAAAAAGTGGGGGAGCAATAGAGTAAGGTACCCAATATTTTCTTCTGCCCCCCCCTTAAAGAGAAATTAAACTGGTTGGGTTGAGAAGGAGTGGTTCCCAAGAAGAAAATCCCATATACCAAGAGAAAAGTCAAGTAAGGTTGGAATAAGGAAGAGATGGAAGGAAAAAGGAGGTTTCCACAGGTTTAACACTATTTTGAGAATATGGAACAACTGCAAAAGTAGTAAATGCCGAGAAAGAAAAAAAAAAGCCTTATGAAGATATCCTGTAGCAGATATGCCTGCTATGTCCAGATCATGGGTTACAGTGTTGCAGGGAAATAAGGAATTGAGTAGGCTTTCACTGGTATAGCCCACTGTCACCCCTGACAGTGTATATGACCTGTTCTGTTGTTAGGGTTTTTTTCAAGAAAGGGTTTCACTGTGTAGCCTTGGCTGTCCTGGAACTCGGTCTGTAGACCAGGCTGGCCTCAAACACACATATACGCCTGCCTCTGCCTCCTCAGTGCTGGGATGAAAGGTGTTCGACACCACAGTTGGCTGTGTTGTTTTGTTTTAAATAAAATATTTCTTATGCTACTTCTTATAGGGGGAGAGAGAGAGAGAGAGAGAGAGAGAGAGAGAGAGAGAGAGAGGCTATAGAAAACATAAAATCTTATGTATACAACTAAGTGAAAGAAGCCAATCTAAAAAGCTGCATGATTCAATATAATGTTCAAGAAAAGACAAAATTATAAAGGCAATACAATGACAGGTGGTTGCCAGACATTCAAGGGTGAAAGAAATGAACAGAACACTGAGGAATTTTAGGACCTTGACATTATCCTATGACATTGTCCAAGCCCAGAGTGTACAGCACCTCCTCAGAAGAGAACCACGATAAGAACAATGGACTGGTTGATGATATATCAAATGTAGCTACAGGAATAGCAACTTATGTATCCCACTGCTGGCATGCTGATAATGGGGACTTTGTACCTTCTTCTCAGTTATGCTGTGAATGTTAAACTTCTCTAAAAATTAGTATAGAAATCGAAAAGGGTCATGAAGTGGCAGATGGTACAAATTTAAAATCTAAAGGGGACACTATGCAGAAAAGAACATTAATTATGCAAGAGCAGATTGGATGCTCTTTGGGTCCTAAAAAGTTTACACTGAATAAAAAATTGAAAAAAAAAAACTACAGCATAATGCTACTTACAATACCCCAGAAAAACAGCAACAGACTTTTTTCTTTGGTTTTTCAAGACAAGGTTTCTCTGTGACTTTGGAGGCTGTCCTGGAACTAGCTCTTGTAGACCACCTGGTCTCGAACTCACAGAGATCCACCTGCCTCTGCCTCTGCCTCCCGAGTGCTGGGATTAAAGGCATGTGCCACCAATGCCAGGCCCAACACAGACCTTTTACAACCAAGAAAATGCACACAAAACACATTATGGCTTGGGATATATATTATTACAATCTGTTTTATTCCATAAAGAGCAAATAAAGGCAGCCTATTTGAATAAAGACCAGGCCAATGATTCAATGAGAAAAAAACTTATCATGGTACTTAGGTGGGGATAGGATTTGAAAGAATAGAAAAAAAGAGCAAATGCCTAAATAAAACAAGATTGGTTTCAAATGGATCAGTGATAAATATAATGCCTCCATTTCCTGTACTTAGACATACTAAAGGAACTTTTAGAACATGGAAGGTCAAGAAAAAGTCTAAGCTTCAAGAATGAAAGGTAGCTGTATTACCAACAGAAGAATGAAAAAAGAGGGGCTGGGAAGACAGCTTAGCAGCTAAGAGCACTTGCTGAATAAGCATAGAGATTTATTTTATTTGGTGAGGGGGTGTTGAGACCTCACTATGTAGCTCTGGCTGTCCTGAAACTCACTCTGGAGACCACGCTGGCCTTGAATTCACAGAGATCTACCTGCCTCTGCCTCTGCCTACCAAGTGCTAGGATTAAGGGTGTACACTAACATACCTGATTAAAAAAGATTTTTTTTTTTGGTTTGGCAGGGCAGTGGTGGTGCACGCCTTTAGTCCCAGCACTCGGGAGGCAGAGGCAGGGGGGTCTCTGTGAATTCAAGACCAGCCTGGTCTACAAGAGCTAGTTCCAGGACAGCCTGCAAAGCCACAGAGAAACCCTGTCTCGAAAAACTTAACCTTCCTTCCTTCCTTTCTCCCTCCCTCCCTCCCCCCCTGTCTCTCTCTCTTTCTGGTGTTTCAAAACAGAGTTTCTCTGTGTAACAGTCCTGGTTGTCCTGTCACTCGCTCTGTAGACCAGGCTGGTCTCAAACTCAAGAGATCTGCCTGCCTCTGCCTCCCGAGTGCTGGGATTAAAGGCAGTCTTGGGAATGGAATCTGGGGTGTCATGCATGGTAGGGCAAGTGCTGTACCACTGGGAAACACCCCCAGTCCTGAAGCAGATATTTAAAAGGTTCTAAGAAAACAGATTTTACAGAATTGTACACTGAGCCAAACTGCCCTTCGGCTGTAAAAGTGCAATGTAGTCTCAATTATAGGGGTGAAGAAAGGGATCATGAAATTATAAAAAGAAATGACAATTGCTAAGAGGTATAAAGGAAGGAAGAGACATAAAGAAGATGGCAAGGTGACAAGGGTTATCTATAAAAAAAAAAGCATTATTCCCTAGCACCCCAAAAGATACATGTGGAATCAGTTACTTAAAATTTATAAAGAAGCCAACAGGGGAACTAAAATGAAAATAGAATAGTACTGGGGGGCTAGTAATACTATAGAGGTAAACTTTCCTCTGTCTTGGCAGAGAGAGGACAAAATACTAAAAGAAAGTAAATAAAGTAAATGAAGATGGTAAATCAAGAAATAGAGGTAGCGGCTAGATCGATGGCTCAGCAGTTAAGAGCACTGGCTGCTCTTGTAGAGCATCTAGGTTTCTAGCACTGACATGGTAGCTCACAATCATATGTAACTCCAGTGTCAGGGAGCCCAGCATCCTCTCCATGAAACACCCCCACACATAAAATAAAGATAAATACACCTTTACAAAAAGATTATGCATCAGTTTGGAGGGGCATAGGAGAGAACTGCCATAGGATTAAATGAGACAGTTTTTTTTTTCTCAATTGAACAAGCAGTCAGATGAATGTGTCATTAGGAGGAAATGAATAGGCACAAAGTGCCGGCTCAGTGGGGCAGGGAGATTCCTAGAATCCCCACCAGCAACCACCCCCTGCTGAGCACAACTCAGAAGGTCCCTCTTACACAATGGCCTCTTAGCCTGGAATGCGGGGAACAGAAGAAGTGGGCTTTGTTTGTTTGGTTCCTTTTGATTTTGTTTTGTTTTTGAGCGAGGGTCTTTCTGTGGAGCACAAGGTAAAGTCAAACTTTCTATCCTTCTGACTCAATTTCCTAAATGCTGGGATTATAAGTATGTCACCACTCCTGGCTTGAGATGTATTTTTTTTTAGTAATCTTGGGAACACACCATTGGCTGTACAGAAATTTAGTTTGTTCTCATAAGAAAAAAAAGGGGTGAGGGAAGATATGCAATGGATTGAGGCACGATCCCTTGAACCCAAGAGATAAAGGCTAATCTAGGCAACATAATGAGATCCCAAAGAAAGGAAATAGACACAGAGACAAAGACAGAGAGACAGGGAGGAAGGGAGGGAGGGAAGGAGGGAGGGAGGGAGATATACCAGGGGCAAATTGTTATTTTTGCCATGGGTAGGTTTTAAACATTTGGTGATATGGACATTCAAACAAGAAACACACACAGCTGTCCCCCTGCTCCTACTAAAAGCAGATGTCTGAAACAAGCATGGTGTGATGCACACTTGCAAAGCAGCACTCAGGAGCATAAGGCAGAAAAATAGTGAGTTTGAGAGTTTGAGGCCAACCTAGGCTACATAATGAGATGCTGTCTTAGAAAAAAGTAAGAAGCAGTTAAGAGAGCTTGATATTCTTCCAGAGGACCCATATTCCAATCCCAACTCTCACATTGCGAACACACATGTGCCTGTCATTCCAGTTCCAGGAGGTAGTGGACACCTTCTGGCTTTTGTGAGCACTGCACATACGTGTATGCATACATACCCTCAGACATATGCACACATTAAATAAATAAATAAATCCTAAAACAACAACAACAAAGAAGAAGCTGGCCATGGTGATGTGTTCCTGTGATCTAAGCACATACATGGAGTTGGAGGCAAGAGGATCAGGAGTTCAAGGCCAGCCTGCATCACAAGAGACATTGTCTCAGAAAAAAATGGTGGTGATGGTGGTATGTGGTAAGGTGGCTCAATGGGTAAAGGCACTCACCAGCAAGCCTGACTACCTGAATTAGATCCCTGGAACCCACAACATGGAAGGAGAGATCAGATCCTGACAGCTGTGCTCTGGCACACACCATCCACTTCCACACAAATAAGTGCAAAAACAGCTTTGAAACAGGGTGTGACTACGTAGTCCTAGATGACCTGGGATTAGCTATGTAGACCAAGCTGACTTTGAATTCATACAGATCTGCTGATCTCTGCCTCCAAAGTGCTGGGATTAAAGGTATGCATACTTGCCCCCCCAAAAAAAAATTAAAGAAAAATGTAAAGAACGTTGAGTTGGAGAGATGGCTTTGAGGTTAAAAACACTTGCTACTCAATCATGAAGACTGGATGGAGTTCAGATCCTAGGACCCAAATAACAAGGCAGGCATTTCAAAAACACATTGAGTGGAATCCAGCCCTCAGGAAGCTGATGCCTTCTTTTGGCCTCTGCATGAGCACACAGGCATGCACACACTGGCTCAAATTAATTTGTTAAAAATGTAGTCTGCTAGATGGGTCAAGGGTTATTGTGTAGCAGCCCTTTCTCCTTTTTACGAAGTAAGTTCAAACTCCTCTTGGCAGCTTAGTTCTATGATGTTTTCTCTTTCCTAAACAGGGAGACCGGAAGGCATTGTGTTTTGGAGACCAAAAATTTAACTTACATGAGGTGGGAAAGGAATTTGAGCCCAAAGCAGCTCACCCCATCCCGGGCTCCCTGGATATTTGTCTGATCACAGAAGTGCCTTTGGAGGAGGTGATCCAGCGCCTCAAGGTGAGTGGAGTGTCATTCTCGTTAAGAAAGTCCAGCCCATGAAGAAATGGCTCAGCAGTTAAGAGCACCAACTGCTCTTCCAGAGGACTGGGTTCAATTCCCAACAACCATATGCAGCTCACACCTGTCTGTAACTCCAAGATCTGACATTCTCACACAGACATACATGCAGACAAATCACCAATGCAAATAAAAATAATAAATTATAAAAAAATCATACTTGGCAGGTGATGGCACACACCTTTGATCCCAGCACTGGGGAGGCAGAGGCAGAGGCAGGCAGATCTCTGTGAGTTCAAAGCCAGCCTAGTCTATAGAGCAAGTTCCAGGACAGGCTCCAAAACAATACAGAGGAACCCTGTCTCAAAAAAACAGACAAACAAAAAAAAAAACACCAAAAAGCAAAAACAAAACAAACAAAAAACTAGCATTCTGCAGGGAGAGGCAGGCAGATCTCTGAGTTTGATGCCAGCCGGAGCTACATAGTGAACCTCTGTGGTTATTTGTTGTTTGTTTGAATAAAAAAAACCATACTCACTGAAAGGTTCAGGCATTATGCTGGCCTGCCTTTGTTACCTGTCGGAATCTGCTCAGGCAGTACCCGGGTCAGCCCAGGGTTCCATGGGAACTAAGTCTGCACGCAGGTGCAAAGGACCCCTTTAAAAGACAGACCCCTGACCATTTACACTCTCTCTACTCTGTCTCCTTGACTCTTCTCTTCTCCCACCTACAGGAGCGCTCTCTTTCTCTATGGTGACCGGCCATCGCGGTTAGCCATTAACCCTGTTTCTCTTCTTTCTTAGTCCCTCTACTCTGTCAGGCCTATAATAAACTGGTTAATATGTCTAATAGTCTCATGTCTCATCTTGTGCCTCCTCTTCTTCTTTATTTCTAATTTAAGCAAAAGAATAACACTCACTGCTTAAAAAAAGAGCCCAGCCTTAACGCATGACAGCTTGATATGCCATGTTTTGTTGATACCCATAGGAGACCTGCTCTTTCCTGGATGGAGAGAAAGAGGAGGAGACTGGAGGTGGGGTGGGAGGGGGAATCATGGAGAGGGACTAGGAGGGAAGGATGGGGGAAGGCCATGGCTGGGATGTAAAATAAATGAATGAAAAAAAAGGAAATCTAAGGCAGATACTGTCAAGACTGTGTGACCCATGGAGCTAGGTTGTCCTTAAACCTCAGACACAGCAGATGCCATCACATCCCCAGCCTGCCTGCATACAGTTATCTACTTGCTCCTTTGATTGATATCACTTTCATGTACACACATTGATTTTAGAAAAAATATTCCAACTCAACAGCCATGCACTTAGAATAAGCATTCGGAGCTGTGCAGTTTCACATTACATTTTACACATAAATCAGTATTGAATAGATCTTATACACTTATCCTCCACACAAAACAAAACAAAATCCAATACACAATGAGAAGTACAAAAACAACTGGGTCTCCTTGATTTTGGTGTTTGAAGTTTCGTTTATTTGCAAGTCTCTTTTTTTGAGGGGGTGAGGGGTTTCAAGACAGGGCTTCTCTGTGGCTTTGGAGGCTGTCCTGGAACTAGCTCTTGTAGACCAGGCTGGTCTTGAACTCACAGAGATCTGCCTGCCTCTGCTTCTCGAGTGCTGGGATTAAAGGCATGCACCACCACTGCCTGGCTGCAAGTCTTTTAATAAATATAGTAAATTTTATAAAATTTAAAGAATATTCGTTTTGTAGATTTTATTTATTTTTTATGTATACAGTGTTCTGTCTGCATGTGTACCTGTGGGGCAGAACAGGGCACCAGATCTCATTACATATGGTTGTGAGCCACTATGTGCGTTCTAGGAATTGAACTCAGGACCCCTGGAAGAGCACGCAGTGCTCTTAACCTCTGGGCCATCTCTCCAGCCCAAAGAAGAATATTTGTAAATAACGTTTTGACATACCCAGTCTTTTGTCATGCTAATGTCTAAGTAAGAAAAGTATGATCTGATCGCCGGGCAGTGGTGGCACACGCCTTTAATCCCAGCACTCGGGAGGCAGAGGCAGGTGGATCTCTGTGAGTTTGAGGCCAGCCTGGTCTTCAGAGCGAGTGCCAGGATAGGTTCCAAAAGCTACACAGAGAAACCCTGTCTTGAAAAAAACAAAAAACAACAAAAAAAGGAAAGTATGATCAGAGCTGCTGGTGGTGCTAGTGGTAGCCTTTAATCTTAGCACTTGAGAGGCAGAGACAGGCAGAGCTCTGTGAGTCCAAGACCAGCCTGGTTTATAGATTGACTTCCAGGACAGCCAGGGCTATACAGAGAGACCCTATCTTGATTAAAGGCATGTGCCACCACTGCCCAGCTATATCTTTTTATACAAAGAGGAAATGAGATTTCCACCAAGTATATGAAAAAAACCCATTTTATGCCAGGTGTGGTTGCACTCTTGGGAGGCAGAGGCAGTTGGATCTCTGAGTTTGAGGCCAGCCTTGTCTATACAGTGAGTTCCAGGACAGCCAGGGCTACACACACAAAAACAAAACAAAACAAAACAAAAAAACCTAAACATTTTATCTTGGGATAAAGAGAAAGGAACTAAAACCAACAATAACTGGGCTGGGAATGTATCTCAGTGGTAGATTGCTTGCTGGTCCCACAGAAAGCTGTGGATCCAATTCCCAGAACTGTTTAGAATACATTGATACAGTTACTGTCCTTAAATTCTTGCTCACTAATACTACTATCACCCCCAATTTACAAACTGAGGTTCAAGGCAATTACATATTCTGTCCAAGGCCATACATCTTGAGTAGAGTGAGGGAAAATGGCAGTAGATGAGGTCAGAAACCTAGGGAGTCTGGACGCTATTAGGAATTGAACTTTGGCTGTGGTTGTAGCATGTGTAAGCTCAAACCCAAGAGCACTGGGGTAGGGAAGAAACAAGAAGGAATTTTTAAGGAATTCAATTTTGGTCTCACATATCTGTGCTACATAACTTTTGTCTTTCTGTTCACTTCATCCAGGCATTTGATGTCCCCATTGAGGAGGGCCCAGTCTCCCGAACAGGAGCAAAAGGACCTATTATGTCCATCTACTTCCGAGATCCTGATAGAAATCTCATTGAGGTGTCCAACTATGTGATCTCATGATTGACACCTGCCTTCCTCCATTCTGTTCCTCAAGATGTCATCTTATCCCTCATTTCCTGCAAGTTCCAGAAACCTCCAAGAACTGAGAACTTTGGCACTTCACCGATCCTACAAAGGGGCCCTAAGACAGGTTTATGTCCAAACTTTTGTTGTCTAGACAGCCTCCATCTAAAGCTACTCCAATAAATGACTAATCTCTCCACATGAGCGCACCAGTCTTGTCTCGGTCCTGTGTCTGGGAGCTTGTCTCAGACATGAGTTCTCTGAGATTTCTGGAGGTATGGGATAGAGTTTGGTGTCTTTGGAGAGTAAATCCAGGTCATCCTTTTGGGGTTCAAGGGCCTCGACACTTCTCTCCTTGTCAATGATCCATCATCCCTCTTCTATTTTCAATCCACCCCATGTCTCTAGCTGCTTCCTGGCGCTTCCTTCACCCCATGAGCATCACTGAACCTCAGGATCTCTCCAGTTCCTATCAGACTATCCAGAACCACACCAAACAGTGCTACCTCCTTCTGGAGATCTTTCTCTGGTATCATTCCAGACTATCGAGCATGTTCTCTCTTTAGATCTTAATTGAAATTCAGCTCCCCAAACAGAATAAGGTCAACTAGCCTCCCCCTTCTCCCCTTCCTTCTCCCTTCCTGTCTCCCTCCCCACTCTTTTGTTTCTTGTTTTCTTCCCTTTCTTCTAGACAGGGCTGTATAAGTAAGACTGGCTTCAAACTCAGGGCAATCCTCCTGCCTTTGCCTCCTGATCAATATGACCCACCGCTGCATTGGCATCTGTCCCTTCCATCATTACTATCCCATCCACTCATTTGTTGACTGAGAAGCATTATCTTAAGCACATATTGTGTGCTAGGCCCTGTTCCAGGCATTCGGTGAGACAGTGTTGAACAACAGATAAGCTTATCTAGCCATGCGTGGTGGTACTTTTGTAATCCTAGCACTTGGAAGGTAGAAGCAGGAGCATCGTATGTTCTAAACCAGTCTGGTGTTCATAGCAAGTTCCAGGCCAGCTAGGGCTCCATAGTGAGACCTTGCCTCAAAGCAAAACAAAATCCCATGTATGTATATGGGGCCGCTCCTCAAGTAAATGATAGAAAATGAGTAAGATTAGAACAGGGGCAATTAATATAGCTGCTCCCGCTGAGCTTGTCATAACCATTACCATTATAAAACAGAGCAGTTACAGTGAACTACAGGAGATCTTGCTCAATGAAATGAACTAGGTCTACAGTAAAATCCCCTCTTGGAGAGAGGGGTCACAAGGTGTTCATAAGACCCTTCCCTAAAATTCTAATCTCTACTCTCTCCCTCCTGCCCCAGCTACAAGTACTCTTAGAAATGCTAATGTGGGACTGGAGAGATAGCTCAGTGGTTAAGAGCACTGGTTGCTCTTCCAGAGGACCCAGGTTCAATTCTTACAGCCACATGGCAGTGCACAACTGTCTAACTCCAGTTCCAGGGGATCCAGCATCCTCACACAGGCATATATGTGGGCAAAATTCCAATGCACATAAAATAAAAATAAACAAAAAGAAATATTAATGACATGAGAGGTAAAAATGGACTGATGTAGTGGGACTTTAGTCTTGGCGTTGCCCATAAGTTACCCATGCTCTTTAAGTACTTGCCAAAACCTATTTATTCACCAAGCTGCACTTGGCAATCTTTCTTGGTCTGTCAGCTTCAGCTTCTTCCCTATTGGGGGTAAATAGACATTTCTTTTACCTCTCTCCGGTAATGGCACAAAATGTGACCAAGCTGAACAGGGATATGACTGACCCAGAGAAGAGTAGAGCAGCCACAGAGTCTCGGGTGATCATCTTCCTCCATGAGGATTACATAGTGCGCCTCCCTGATCAATATGGCCTACCTCATAAGTATGCTGATGACCCAGATAGAGCTGATGAATAAACAATATACTACAACTCACAGAGTAACACAGACAGGTCAGGAGTGTGAGGAAGCTGTGGTGGAGTTGTAGAACTCCTGCTGTGGGCGACAAGACATGCAACTGAGGCTGAGTTGTCTTCTTGGAGGAACCTTGCCTAAGTAAGGAGGAGCTCCGTTGAGAAAGGAGTATGTGGAGGCTATCCTGCACATCAGTCTCTAGTTTGGAAAGAATACGAAGTGGAATGCATTGAGAACCCCCTCCTGGCTGGAAAGACAGAGATAAAAGAATTCCACACAAGTATTCTAGGTTACATCCAGATCCTCAGGACACATGTAAAAGTAGGGCACTGTAGCACAACTGTTTGGAATCCCTGTGTGTCTCTACCAGGAGATAGGAGGTGCAGAAGAGAACATCTCCAGACACTCAACTCCACCTGGCCAATAAGCAGTGAAGAGATTCCATCTCAAATAAGGTAGGAAGGTGAGGACCAATGCCCGCTCGAAGGCTGTGCTTCTGACCTCCACACATGCACTGTGGCATGCACATCCCCTCATGCACGCGCGAACACACAAACACACACACACACACACACACCCACACCCAACAACACCCCAGCACACACACACACACACACACACACACACACACACACACACACACACTGGGTTAAAAAACAAAACAAAACTTGCCATTCAAGCTTGACCACCTGAATTGATTTACAGAATCCAAAGTGGAACCAGAGAACTGACTCCCAAAAGTTGTTACAGACACACACACAATTTTTTTAAAAAAAATATTAAAACTCATAAGAGGAACTTGATTGTATGGAGGAAAAAGTGAGGTCCAAGTAACAGAAGACATCCTTTGGATCTGACCGTCAATATAAAGAGGAAGGGAAATCCGTGATTCAGCATATACATGGGGGCCTTAATGGCTGCTACAAGAAACCATGGTATTCAAGAAAAACTCTGCCTCTGAACAACTTGAATTAGGAAAGATTTTTTTGTTTGTTTTTAAGACAGGGTCTCTCCATGTTTCTGTAGTTGGCCTGAAACTTGTTATTTAAACCAGGCTGGCCTTGAATTCACAGAGATCTGCCTGCCTCTGCCTCCAAAGTGCTGGCTGGATTAGTGGTGTGTGCCATCATGCCTGGCATGGAAAAGACTTTTGTTTGTTTGTTTGTTTTTTGAGACAGGGTTTCTCTATGTAACAGCCCTGGCTGCCCTGGAACTCATTTTGTAGATCAGGCTGGCCTTGAACTCACAGAGATCTGCCTGCCTCTACCTCCCAAGTGCTGGGATTAAAGGCATGCACCACCAGGCCTGGCTATTGATTTTTATTTTATGTGTATGGATATTACGCTTGCATGCATGTCTATGCACCATGTGCATGTCTGGTGCCCATGGAAGCCAGAAGATGACACTAGATACCCTGAAACTGGAGTCACAAACAGTTGTTGAGCTGCCATGTGGGTGCTGGAAACCAAACCCTGGTCCTCTAGAAGAGCAGTAAGTACTCAGAACCATACCCCTCCATTCCCAATTACTTGGGGTCCAGGGTTTTAATAGTCTGATACTCAGATTGAGAGACTTAGTGTCTCTTTAGAATAACTCCATTTCTACCAGGCTGGTTACAAACATATACAAAGCAACCAGAGGTCCCATGCTGACCTGTAGATTTATTGGTCTCTTACAAATGTGGGAAACACTGGAGCTTTAGTGGATACCAGATATGAGTACATCTGAATTCCCAACAACCTCCAAATCCACCAGGACAATGGACAGAGAGGCAGGAATGATGAAAATGAAAAACAACAACCAAAAGCTCATCCTATGGTGAGCAACTGTTCCCCACAGAGATGAAGAAAAGGAGAGAACTGACTGCTGAAATTTGTCCTCTGACCACACCCATGATATGGTATGAACCCTCTCCCCACTAACTAACTAAATAAAATACAACCAAAGAATTCAAGCATATGGATACTAGTGACTTGGGAGATTTGGTCTCTGACAATCTTACTGACACCTGGGCTGTATTTCTGCTTTAATTTCAATTATTCTCTCTCTCTCTCTCTCTCTCTCTCTCTCTCTCTCTCTCTCTCTCTCTCTGTGAGTCTAAAAGAAATGAACAAATTTCTAGATATGGCCAACCAAAATTACAGCAAGGTGAGCTCAACAACCTAAACAGACCTACAACACATGTGCACAGTGACAAGTAAGTAATAAGTAAGGCAGTAATAAACAGCCTTTCAACTAAAAATAAGTCTACACCCAGATGGGTACATAGAAATATTTTACTAGATTTTCAAAGATTAGCTACAGATAATTTTTCTTAAAGTATTCAAAGAAGGAGAAGGAAGAGAGAATAGACACAGACAGAGAGAGGAAGAAGCAGCCATCTCAAACTCCTTCTATCAAACCAATATTAATCTAGTACTCAATCCAGGTGTCTAGTTAAAGTTTCCATTGCTGTGAAGAGACACCATGACTACGGCAACTCTTATAAAAAAAAAAACATTTAATTGAGGTGGCTTACAGTTCAGAGATGTTTTTCCATTATCATCATGGTGGGACATGGCAGCATGCAGGCAGACACAGTGCTGGAAAAGGAGCTGAGAGTTTTACATCTTAACCCAAAGGCAACAAGAAGTGGTCTGAGACACTGGGTGTGGCTTGAGCATATATGAGACCTCAGAGTTCACCTCCACAGTGATACACTTCCTTCAACAAGGCCACACCTCCTAATAGTGCCACTCACTTTGGGGGCCATTTTCTTTCAAACTGCCACACCAGGTAAAGACATAACAGAAAAACTATAGGCCAATATCCCTGATGAAGCATAAATGTAAAAATCCTCAATAAAATATTTGCAAACCAAATACAAATATACATCAAAAGATCAAGTTGGCTTTATACCAGAGATTCAAATATGGTTAAAATGCACAAGCTAATGAATGCAATAAACCACATAATGGAAATAAAGACAAAAAGCATATGATCATTTCATTAGAGGCAGAAAAAGCCTTTGACAAAATCCAACATGCCTTCACGATAAAAGCCCTAGAGAAAATAGGACTACAGGGAACATACCTCACATATTTAAAGTTTTATATGAAAGCTAAGTGGTGGTGGCACACACCTTTAATTCTAGCACTCCGGAGGTAGAGGCAGGAAGATCTCTGTGAGTTCAGCACTTGGGAGGCAGAGGCAGGTGGATCTTTGAGTTCAAGACTAGCCTAGTCTACAAAGTGGGTTCAAGGGACAGCTAGGACTGTTACACAGAGAAACCCTGTC